AGTTTTTCATGTTTTTTGATGCTGTTGTAAATATTAATTTTTAAATGTTTCTAATTTAAATTGCCACTATACAGAAATATATTTATTTTGTATACCAATCTTATATCTGTGACTTTGCTAAGACTTGATACTGATTTTAGTAGCTTTTGGTAAATTCCTTGGGATTTTTTGTGTAGATAATTTTATCACCTGGGAATAAACACAGCTTATTATTATGCCTTCTTTTCCTTTTTTAAAAATATCTTTTTCCTATAGGGCACATGTGCTCATTGGAGACACAGAGACAGAGAAACAGAAAGAGAAAAATCACCCCCTGGAGAGATGGCCATGCCACAATCTCCTCCTCCATTCTCCTCTGCAGAATTTGGGCATGCATGCACACATGCTTGGTGTGAGTTTCAAGCGTCTGGGTCCAGGATTTGAACTGCGGTCGGCTATGTGGGAGTCCACAGATGTAACTGTTATGCTATCTGCTGGCCTATTATGCCTTCTTTTTTAATATTCTCTTTCTTTTTCTAGCATTATTACAGTGATTAAGACTCCAATATAGATTTAAATAGAAATGAGTATGACAATCCTTGCCTTGTTCCTGATTTAGGGAGAAAGCCTTTCATCAGTATGATGTTACCTACAAGTTTTACTTAGATCTTTTTATCAGGCTAAAGAAGTTCCTTTCTTTTCCTAGTTTGTTGAAAAGTTTTATCATGAAAGGATACTGAATTTTATCAAATCTTTTTCGTATTTTATTAAGATACGTCCTCTCTTCCCTCTCTCCCTCTTTTCCCTCTCTTCCTTCCTTCTATGAAAGACAAAGAGCTACAGAAATAGGCAACCCCCACCACCAACAGGATATTCATGCCATGATCCACCCCAAGCATCAGCCAACCCAGATTACAGGCAAAATGCAGCTTGATGGTGTATACAGGGACGCCCCAGAATGAGAACCAGGACCGCTTTTTTTTTTTTTTTTTTGTGGATCCAGTTGCCCACCACTGTGTGCTTGCTTGTTCTTTTTCTGAAGGTGAATTATATTGATTGATTTTTTTTTTTTTTGGAGAGATTTTCACTGTAGGGCGCGTGCACTCGCCAGACAGACAGAGAGAGACATAGAGATAGAAAGCGAGAAATCACCCCCCAGGGGGGATGGTCACGCCGCAATCCCTTCTCCTCCATTCTCCTCTCGGGATCTTGGGCACGCATGCACACGCGCCCGGCGTGAGTTTTAAGCCACCGGGTCCGGGACACGAACCGCGGTCGACTACGTGGGAGTCCAGCAACATAGCCATTACGCTAACTGCTGGTTCCCTATATTGGTTGATTTTAAAATCCTGAACCAACCTTGTATTTCTGGATAAACCTCATTTAGTCTTAATGTATTATACTTTTTTATAATGTTGGATTCACTTTGCTATTATTTATTACACATCTGTTCTTATGGATTTTAAATTTTGTTTTTTCTGCCAGAGGGTCTTTTGTATGTGTGAGAGAGAAAGAGAGAAAGTTAGAGAGAGAGGGATAAGAGAAAGGTAGATAGAGAGAGAGAAAGCACCCCCCAAAAGGGCCTGGTCATGCCACAATACTTTTTCCTCCAATTCTCATCTCATCAAGATTGTGGCTAATATGTTTTTCAAGCTATGGGGCTGGGACCTGAACCCTAGTCAGCCATGTGGGATCCAGCTTCCTCTGCACGGTGTATAACTGCCGTACTATTATTGGGTTAGCCCATGATTAATTTTTTTTAGATTTTTTTATTATTGTGATAAAAAAATACATAACAAAATTTACCATTTAAACCATTTTTAATTGTAGATTCCATTGGCATTAAATACATTCACAATGTGGTACATCACGACTATCTATTTTCAAAACTCTTTCATCAGCCCAAACTGAAACTCTGTATTCATTAAACCATAAGTCTTCATCCTCTCCTTACCCAGATCCTGGTAGTTATTCTACTTCCTGTCTCTATGAATTTGATTATTCTATGAACCTCAAATTAAGTAAAATGACACAATACATGTCCATTTTCATCTAGCTTATTTCACTCAGCATAATGTTTCTAGGACTCATCCATGTCACACATAGCATGTATTTCCTTTTTTTAAAAAAAAAAAAAGATCAGTAATAGTTTATTGTGTGTACCTATCAGATGTTGTTTATCCTTTCATCCATCAATGGACATTTGGGTTATAGTCACCTGTTGGCTACTGGAATAATGCTGCTATTAAAACTGCTATTCAAACATCTGCTTAACCTCTGCTTTCAATTATTTTGATACCATATACATGGAAGAGAAATTGCTAGACTGCAAGGTAATCTGGTATTGTTTAGTAAGCAGCTGCATCATTTTACATTACCACTAGCTATGCATTAGGGTTCCAATTTCTCCTCAATCTCACCAACATTTGTTATTTTCTGAGCTTTTTAAAATAATAGCCATCCTAATGGGTGTAAAGTGTATTCATGGATTTCTGCATCTATGCTAATAAGAGATATTGACTCTGTAAAGTTTGTTTGCTTTATAATTGTATTTGTGCATCTGGATAAATAAAAACAATGGTAAGACATGAATGGCCCTAAAGTTTCTTGACTACCATTCTGTGTGTCAAGAACAACTGAGAATCTTGGAGAAAGAACAGATTTGAAAAGCCAGGAGATGAAAAACTGGTGCTAAAAACATTGATATAATATTGAGATATTTGAGCTCACCAGGATTGTGAGCCCTCCTAGTAGAAAGGTGTAGTTAGCAATTGAGAAAACATGATGAAATCCTGAGGAATAAGGAAGGCCCGGAAATGCAGAAAAGGCTAATTTCTTCCACTCACTGAGTGCCTGTTTTAAGCGTATGGAGATTGTCAGCCTAAGTGGAGTAGCTGAGGTCACAATAATGTGCCGCTCTTC